TCCCTATCAGAAGTCCCTGAGGTTGCTTGCTCAGTTGGAGCCATACTACGAATCCCAAACGATACCACAATTACATTGGAAATGCCTGTGGAAGAGTTTGTGTTCTGAACTGGTTCTTTCTTATTTTGCAGGCTATCACTACATCTGTTTGAGGAACGAGAGGAACCAACCTTTGACACTGCCAGCTCTCTTTGTGTACATAGAGGTCAAAGACTACGTACCTGATACTTATGCGGGTAATTCTGTGACATTTTCCTACTCTGAAATATAAAGGTTAATTGAAACGCAAAATGAATGCGGTATAGATGACTTGCCATATTGGGATAACAGTCCTGTGAACAAACCTCTGCGCCTGATGGATCATTATGTCTCATCACTCGTACAAGATGGCCTCATTCACAGCGGCCTGCCTGGGATTTAGGCTTAGGGCCAACTCTTTTATTTTCAGCAGACCTTGTATGACTCTAAAGGAGGAAATACCCCAGGCATTTGCCACTGAAGCACAAATGAAACTTTGCTTATGCGACACGGCAGGATGTAATTGTTTCCTAAGCGAAGGGCCATGCTTAATATAGAGCACTGTATTTTGGAATCGGCTCTAAACAAAGATAGGTTTAAAGACCACACTGTGCATCTTCACTGAAAACCAGTATTCTGTATAGCTATTTTGATTTCTTTTTTTTAAAAAACAGGATTTTTACTTATGTTTCTCTGTGCCTCAAGCATGAGGATCCTAGTTGGCTGATGCTGTAGGCTTTGAAAATCCATCATAAAACACCGTGCAGAAAATGCACATCCACGAGACCCAAGCACAAACTCAAAGAGGGTTCGTGTTAAGAGTCTTTGCGCATGATGGCGTTCTCCCCTCCGCTGTTGTTTCTAAGACGTAGGAGTGCCTACCAGCAGCAGATCTGTATGAAAAATACAGTGTCTTTCTTAAAACCTGAGGAGCACTGGAACCATAACATAAGGGGTTTGAAAGTGAAGTATTTCCGTTATTTCTAGATGTGATCGAGGCCTTATCCAATCCAATCAGATATGTAAACTTGATGGAGCAGAGAGCTAAGCAACTGGCCGCACTGACTCTGGAAGATGAAGAAGAGGTAAAGAAAGAGGTAAGGGAGATTTCAGAGTCTCCGCAAATTATGTTATAGTATTTAAAAGCACTCGCTTTGCTTAGAAAGACAAACGGTACAGCCGAGAAGCATTGCCCTGTGTGTGGTTTCACTGAAGACAGCGTGTTGTGCATGTGGCAAGTTACTGTTCAGAGGAAAAGAGACGCCGAAAGCTGAATGAAAAACTGTGTTATGTGTACGCTGATTTGCAACTTTGTTATGTAGTAAATGAAATCTTCGTAAGTCATTGGCTATTGTTTTTCAGTGTGAGGCTGAAGTTCCCCTTGCAAAAAAAGTCAACTCTGTGTCAGTAGCTTTTCCTGAAAATATTACAAATTTTTCAGAATTTCAGACTGTTTCTGGAGAGGTTATTCAGTAACATTCATACATCTCGGATTATGAGATCTCTATACATTCTCCATGAGCAAACGTGCCCTAAAGAGACCCAGCATAATCATGCAATGATTTAGATGGAAGAGGGCCTCTGGAGGTCAACTGGTCCAACCCTTCATAGATCTTAGAAAGAGAGATGAAGAGGGAGGACACTACCGAGTAAATAAATGTCCAGGCCTATTCTAGCTTAGCGGAAAGCTGTGGAAGCCACGTTTTCAGTTGTTAGGCATCTGTTCGGGTATATATGGTTACCTAAGGACTAACCTCTAAACCCTGTTTTTCTGTGTAATTAGAGGTGTCATGCATACAAATGCATAGATGTTATTTTGAGCATAGCTGAGAATACTGGCTAAAGTTCAGCTTTTTTTTCTGATAAACTCTATGTACATTGAAATGTTGAGTCCCTCTGTTCCAGACATTGTAATTGGGATATCTTCTAGCAGTGTTTGAAAGTACTAACCTTGTATTTTAAAGATAGCTTGTGTCAGATGTTTAGGCACATCGTGTGGATCAAAAGGCACTCGGTACAGGTCTCTAGCGAAGATGGAGAAATGCTTTATAATCCTAAACTGCCCTCTGCTCTGGTGCCTGTCTTCTTCAATTCTCAGATGTGCAAAGCCTCACTGAACTAGATTTTGTAACCAAGAATACATTCCCAAAGCAGACCAGATGAGTGAAAGTCATTACGATTCAGTGGCCAACAATTTACTCTTTGTGCAGTGTCACAAGTTCGGCTGAATGAGGACACTGTGAAATGCTCAATAGTATCTTAGACGTTTATCTAGGACGCTCTACACATGAGATTCTATTTTAATAGCAAAACCTTTTTTTAACATAATCCTTTAAATACCTTAGAGGTCATTTTTACTTCTGAAAAAGTACAGATTTTCCTGGTCTGTACAGGCTTATTTGTCAGTTAGAACAATTCTGTCACCAATTATCTTCCAAAGCAAATGAGAAGAAGGAAAGATGAATTGTAGTGCTCAGGTGTTACTACCATATATCAAGGAACTTGAAAGCTCATAGGATAAAGGAGCTTGGTTTGGAGTAGCAGAGAAATATTTTTAAAAAGAAAACTGTAATGATTGTAGCGGTGCGTTTACGGAAAATATACTACCATTCAGTTAGATGCAGTAGCAAGGGACAGGTACAAAACTGCTGTTTGAAGTGGCAATCTAAATACGCATTGTTACCTTCTATTTATAAACACCCATTCTAGGTGAGATATTTGGCAGCTTGGTCGTACTTGGAAATCTTGAATTGCCTGATCATGTTATGTGGTGATGATGTTTTGTCCATCGGTCAGCAGGGCTGACTGTTTTGTTCACCTGCACTGGCCCACAAGAATCGTATCAGTTAATAATTGCAAGTATATTCACTGGCAACATAGCTAAATATGTTTGCCAGAAATGTACACACAAGTGCACCTGGATTCAATTTTCCTATGTGCCGTTTCAAATTTACACACTATAAATGTTTGTGTGCAAAGCTGTGCTGTCTCCTAGCACGGATTCCACCCCCCCCGCACTTCTTTCCCTCCCCTCACACACATTTATTTATCTGAGTCAGGTTCTTGCAGCAGTCACAGGAAAACTGAGAGGTTTTTTTTCTTTGCTACCTAGAAGTTTAAACTGCATCTCTGTGAGAAGTTCCCCAGGCTTCTTGCAAAACAGTAGTCAAATAAGCTACCTAACAGTGAATTGTTTTGAAAAAATAAATTAGCCTTTCTTTAGGCTTCAAATTACACTACCTGTTAATTATCAGTGCAAGAACATAAACAAAGAATGCTGAAGGACTGACAAAATTTACAGTGTCTTTTCTATAATTATTCGCAGTGTTCCCGTCATGAGCGTAACATGAATTCCTACCTTTAGCTTTCTGATCAGTACATAGCTACCAGTTCTTGCTTTCCAGCCTGGCCTTAGAGCAGCAATTTTTTTTTGCAGAACGGAAGCATTGTAATACCTGCAGTGTGGGTTTTGCACCTTTAACTAGACTTACCTGAATACATAGTAAATCTTTCTGAGTGTACAGATTGTGAAGGTTGCCTTTCCACCCCCCCACCTGGTGTCCTTTACAGACAGGAGGAATAAACCACAGAAGTTTGCAGCTGGGAGTTTCTCGGGATCAATTAATCCCAGGCTAAAGTAGATTGATGTAACTCTTTGTATATTTTCATCCTCACAGTTACACGAGTGGAAGTGTTTAGAGGTCTAGGAGAAGCTAGCCAGAGTAAAATGCATTTTGGCTGTGCGTGCTGGTGTAATGTCCCTGGGGCTGCATGTTAATTCCCCCTGCAGAGTCAGGAGGCCTTGCTGGCTTCTTAACGTGTCTGACATGGAAGCAGCAGAGCGTCTGACCTGTTGTTTCTACCCATAAAACAGCGTTGAAATGGAAACTTTTGTTTTGCATGCACTGGATATAAATCAAATGTTTGTAATCACTCCAGTTGGTTTCTTTGGTTAAATGAAATTATTTTGATAGGGAAAATAAATAAAAACATCTCTAGGAGAGCAGCTGCACTTAGCATATCTGATACCACTATTTAAAACGAAAATTCAGGAATAATTTTGCAAATTATAATGATCACACCAAATTACAGTAATAGAAGTTAAGTTGATCTGACACTTATTATAGGGAGACCTTGCTTATGCTAGCTTATACTTTGCCAAGGAGGATAGAGGCAAACTGACTTAAGGTCTGCCCACCTCGTCTAACAGTGCAGCACAGAGATCTCCCAACCCCAGTACATTGCAGCTCCTTTTCTCTGTAGAAATAAAAATAGTCCACATAGATATGCACCTGTATGGGCAGGTATCTCTCTACTTCCTACTGTCTTGCAAAAGATACGGCAACATGTGGAATATAAACCATTTTTCTGTGAATATTAAAACTATAAATTCCCTGGCTGGATTACATCATGTTTTAAAAAGACCCTAAAATATTCTCCAGTAAGGGAAAATCATGTTTACTTTAGTGTTCTGTGTGATGAATTATGAGAAGAGAAAGTGCTTTTTAATGAGATTAGATTGCTTGATGCAGTGAAAATTATTCTTTATTCACTTCCTGATCCTGTCTCACATTTCTGCTTCAGTTTCTGAAAACAGATGCTTTATGTCCAAAACTCACAGGCTATATTAATAGTTTCTCAACAAATTGTGATGCAGCATTTCGCACCACGTACAAACCTAGTCCCACAAAAGAAGACAATACCCACTTGCCCATGTAGTGATGTTTGGGGTACAAACTCGCCAGAACTTAGGAATTCTAGCTTTATTTCTATTAAATGTTGATGATCTATATAGCAAACACTGTTTTTATTAAATTGTATCCTGCAAGGAGTATATTTTAAGGAGAATGGAGGGGATAACCTGTCTGTGTGTGTTTGTCACAGCTACAGCTTTTGCCGGTCACATTGTTCTGCTGTCATAAATGTTGGCTGGATCATGTTTTTCCTTATTCTATTGCAGTCATTCCCGCTTGATATAAATGAATTTGTTGGCATTGGTTTTCAATTGCATCATGTTTCTGACTACACTATCTCTCTCCTATAATTTTGGCAGAAATAGGCTGTTGAGACAGAAATCCTTTTGCAATATACAGTATGTTGTCAGGGCCAAGATGAAGGAAATCAGCAGCAGGCACAGTACAAAACAGATCAAAATGTATTTTACCTCTGTTGATGCAGTGCAGGCTGATCTTTTGCAAGTGCGGAGTAATCAAGGGGAAAAGAACAACTGTGGTATCCTGCCTCTGCATGTAATGTGATTACCATCAAAGAGTGAAATGGAAGCAGCTGAAGGAACAAATCCAAAACTACCCTGAGACACCATGGCAACAGGCCCCTTGCAGGCACAGCAGGAAGGGGGGGGGGCTTGGCCATTTCAAAATAAAAATTGCTTTGAATGACCTTCTGTTTGCTGAGTGCTGGGTGCTTGTTTAAAACCTGATGGTCACAAGGAAAATTATGAGATGTTCGATGGGTAGTACAACATATGCTGTAAGCTTGAGCCTTTAGGAAACTGGAGAGAAAGACAAGATTGTGGAAAATGCTTAAATATTTGGATACCACAGATCTATTTATGCAGCAGGATGGAGGTACTGTTTACATATTATCCTTGGAGTGCAATTGCAAGAATGTAAGATCTTGGGAATCAGAAGTATGTCTCTGTTCTGTAAGAACGGTGAAAAATGATAGTGCTGTGTGTATCTATGAAATTTAGAAGTAATTTTGTGTATGCGTTTTGTTCACAGCAGGGATTTGAGTAGTGTTTTCATGCCAGCTTCTACATTACTTCTAGAAAGGTTTTATGGCAGAGAACAACGCTTTTCAATAAAATACAAATTTCACATCTGGTGCAGCTAATATATACTGTACTGAAAAAAGTCCCTGATGAGTTATATCCACATAAAATAAAAACACTTTTTCAGAATAACACATGCTTTATTTCTTCTTGAAATTTACCCTGCACAAATGACCCTCCTGGATTACCATGGCTCTTAAGGATACCTTTTTTTGGTTTGTTTTAGAATGATTTATATATAACATTTACAGAATTTTACGATTAAAAAAGAGGCTAACCTAGACCTGTAAATAAGTAATTTTAAATCTGTTAGTGGGAAGAGTAACGTAAGTCATTATGTATTGACAGATTGACCATGGAGATGCACCATCTGAAGCTAACAATGAACCTAGGCCAACACCAGCAGAAAATGGAGTAAATTACACTGCCTCTCTTACACCGAAACCAGCAACTCAGGTTGTCCATAGCCAACCAGCACCAGGTAAAAAAAAACAAACAAAGCAAAACAAGAAAGTCCTAGGGTTTCTAAATAAATCTGGATAATCATTTTTCATGTGCTTTGCGTTTAAAAAATGAAGGGGTTTTTTGATGTTTGTTTGATTTTATAAAATAGGTAGAAATTTTCCCACTACTTTAGTATGCTGTTAGGGCCAGTTGTCTTCAAACATACAAATATCTTCTTTTTAAGAGTTGCTTTTGTGGTGGAACTGAAGTTCATTACAAGCCAGAAAGTTTGCTGGATTTTTTGTTGTTGTTGTTGCTGTAAATGCAGGAATCTCTTTAAATTGTTTTTACAAATATGTCTAGTTTATGCATGTAGTTACATATTATTCCACGCACAAAATAAAATCTTAGATACTGACTATATTCTGTATTGATGTATCTCCTATAATAAACGCTGTTCAATCACACTGTTTATGATTTGATGAGTGTAGTCTTACTGACTTCCAAGGAGCAGCATTCATCTTGTGTGCAGAAATTTTTGGCTGTTGTCATAATATAGGGCAGTTGTACTAACCATCAGCCTAATACCACTTAAGTGACTCATGAGTGGTGTCAGTGAGTTCAATAACATTCTCCTCATAAGTAAAATGACGATGCTCAGGTAGGTTTCTGAAGGTTACCTTTTCGTGTTTGTTCACAGGATTGGTGGTGTTTTCTGTGTTGCTTCTCTTCTGCTCAGGACATGTTTTTTCTCAAATGATTAATTAAGGCCCATGTCAGTGTATGTCCTGTGTCCCCTGCTGTGTTTTAATATGCAATCAAGCAGCACAGTAATGGCTGTTGCTTTAAAAGAATCGGAATCAGTTATCTCTTTTACCTCTAGGTTCGGTGAAAGCACCTGCAAAGACAGAAGATCTTATTCAGAGTGTCCTCACAGGTAATAAATATACAGTTTACACTGCATGAATGAATGCACTGTTTTGTCAAGAGAAACATATTTTTTATGAAATAGGCCATCTGGATTAGACATTTCTTTGAGCGATTAGGATTGCAGTAACTCATAGAAAATACATATATTATGTTTTCTTCCTCAGCTTTGAAGTTATTAAATGTTTGAGCACATGTTTCATGCCAACAGGGAATTTTTTAAAAATACTCCATTGCTGTAGTTTCACAAGCACAGCGTTACCATCTAATGCAGACAAAAGACCAGCTTTATTATGAGAACAGAAGCTAAATTTGCTCTGAATATTGTGAATAGTACTGAAACCATTTTATCTTCATTAGCCTTGCAGTGTTCCCATTGCTCCTACAAAATTGAAATTACCATTACATTAAGCAAACTGGGCTGCCAGTTAGATAGCGTCCTACTGTTCAGTTGGGAGTCATGTCCTGCAGCTTGGAATTGGAGTTTAGATTGCAAATTTTATAACTCAGATTATTTCCTAGTCATTCTCCTACATTAGAACCCACAACATGTCCAAGTCTTGCATAGGTCTACATTTAGGTGTGGAAAACAGGCAAGACGTGAACTTCTGCATGTTGGTTGCCTCTTACTAGGTCTCCCTCGTGTGGTAGAAAGAGGCTGGCCTAGATTATGGAAGTACTTGCTGGCCTTATACAATGTCTGTTGTCTGGGAAGGGATCTTCAGTCTGGCTTTCCCAGAGCTGTGACCCCAGCTCATGCCAAGGCATCATTCCCTCCAGCATGCAGGGTCTCCATCAAGAGAGAAGTGAAGTCTGTCCTGAGATGCTGTGATGATACCGGGACAGATGCCACCAGTCAGTGCCCGGGTCAAGGCAGGAGGGCAGGCAGCTGAAGCGCTGTTTGTGAAGGGGGTTTAGGCGTCAGCGTGTTACATAGCCCATCCAGAGAGAAGGGAGACTTAAAGTGTTGGTACAGTGGGCACAAAAATGATCTGTGGTCATATCTATGTAAGATCATGTTTTTATATGTTGGGCTGATGAGAATCTTTTGCATCTGAAAGGGGTTGAGGAAAGAAAGTACATGGTTTTTATTTTGCTACATGTCTTGGCGGTCTAAATTTTCATCTCACGTCTTACACTCATATCAATTAAATTTGCCACAGTATTTTCAATCTGCTTAGCTTATTTCCAGATAAATCTACTCAGTTTAAGCTAGCACATTTCACTTACCAGCAGTAAACAAACGTGCTGCTAATGGCAGTTCCTGGGTTCTCTGATTGAAGTCTTACGCTACTAGAAAATTGAAGTGGCTTTTGTTGTTATCATTATAGAAGTGGAAGCACAGACTATTGAGGAGCTAAAGCAACAGAAGTCTTTTGTTAAGCTTCAGAAGAAGCATTACAAGGAAATGAAGGACCTTGTAAAGAGGCACCACAAGAAAACCACTGACCTTATCAAAGAGCACACTGCAAAGTATAATGAAATCCAAAATGACTACCTGCGACGAAGAGCCGTTTTAGAAAAAACAGCAAAAAGAGACAGTAAGAAAAGGTATGTTGAACGTAACTTTACTGTTCTTGGTATTGGAGCTTGGTATTTCCTATTCTTGGTATCTTTACTCAAGTCTTCTTTTATAGTAGACAATTAATATGGAGGTGACATTACAGCACAGAAAACAAACCAAAAGATTAATATGGAGGTGACATTACAGCACAGAAAGCAAACCAAAATCACCAAGATTTCTAGGTAAAATAAAGTCAAGGCCTTTGATACAGAAATCATCAGAAAAAGCTGCTTCTCTGCTAGAGATGTGCTCCTTCTTTGCTAGAAGCCAGATAAGATGTTCACCATGTTA